GCGGTATAAGTTCTAAAGCGACTTGAGCCCCTGCCTTATGTAACCCAAGTGTGTCGCGGATGCTTCGTGTATTTGAGGTTTTTAAATGTAAAGTTGTTTTCCAAGTCCAAGTTTGCGCGGCATATGTTGTGAAGTTGTTTTGGACGCTCGCCAGGGCTTTTTCTTTTGTTTTCTTTTATTGTATATTTTATTTTGGTGTTTGTACGAACTAATAAAACGAGTAGTTGAACGGGTTCCAAAATGGTGGTCTGATCTTTTATCATTATTATTATTATTATTTATTGCATTTTATCATTAAACTTCTGCAAGTGCGTATTCTTTCCAATATGTTTCCGAGAATCGATACAAATATATTTATTTCGTGTAGGTTGAATGTGACTCTTAAATGTACGTAACGCCAAGAATGCAGTATGAGCTTTATTCACATTTATCCAACAATGCTTCCGCCCCTATTATTTTGCACATCATTATCCTTTTGTTATTACACCATTGGGTTCTCCAAATGGTTGCCTGTATACACACACCAGGTTTCAGGATAAAACCTCCCTTACTCCCTCTCAAATAGCGCTTCCGCCACAGTTTTCCCTCATTCTTAAACCTTCTTTATTACACCATCGGTTTCTCAAGAGAGAAATTTCGCAGGATTGAAGCTCCCCTTCTGCAACACCACTTTTCCTACTGTTATATTCTTTGTAAACCGTCATTACACCTTGGGCTTATTTCGGTGTTGCTCTTCCCAGGATGTCGGCGGTAAGCTTTATGCACAAACCAACTTCTTAGGATGAAATCCCCCTATCCCCCCCCCCCTCTTCCTCTTCAACACCTTCTCTATTTCCCCGTCTTCTCGAATCCTGTTATTACACCATGGAGTTCGAAGTCCCCCCCCCCCTTTTTCATCTCTTTCTTCCTCCCATCGACACCCTCTTCGACTTGAAAAGAGGAGGGGGGGGGGTTGTGATGAGAGCTTTACTCAATTGCTCTGTTTATATGGCACTCGAGGGCGAGGGAGACTTGCACAACCCTGGCAGTGTGTGATTAGATTGACTGGTTAAGTAGGGGGGAGTATGTCTTTTATCGCCTTGGCTTATCTTGATAGCACCCCCGCGAGCTAGCTCCCGTTGAACGAGGAGAGAGGGGTTAGAAATGGAGGAAATGTGGAGTAATATGCTGTTTATAAATATCTAATAGATGTCGAATGCGTCCATATCGATTATTGACTTCTCCCAGGAGATCGATGGATGAATATACATATGTACAATTGCGAACCTATTTTTAGCCACTTTAGTGGTGTTGGTGTGTTCTCATGGGAAGATTTCGTCCGTTGGAGACACAGAGTTGAAGACGGATTTTAAGAAAATACGTTTTTTGATATGCTTTGGCCGTGTTTACCATTTTTTTCATTGTTGCTTTTTTTTTCTCCGATCGCCCTTCCTCTCCCATCGTCTAAACATTTAAATATTTTCCACATGTTTATTTTTCCTTTCCTCATCCATCCCCTGCCCTTCGTTTGTCCTCCCGCTCCTCTCCCTCTCACTTCAGCTTTCCTCCTCTCTCACCGCTCGCCTGTTTGCTGTAGACTGTTAATCAAGTTCTCAGGGTGGCTCAAGGTATTTGTGTTTATATTTTAGTTAAGTTCATCACTGTGAAATACGGTTTCCGTCGCAATTTACTTTGCTAGATTAAGCAAAGTTGTCCGTTTTTTTGTACCAGCATGAAATGAGAAGTTCATAATATTAAAAGGAAAGGTTATTTCGGCGGGAAGAAGAGAGGGTGGAGGGAGAGGGAGGGTAATTAATAGAGAGGGAGATACGAAGATAGAGAGGGAAGAAGGAAGAGCCGTACCTTCAATGCAAGCTGGTGATTGTAGACTGAGGGAAAGTTTTCATCACGCACTCCTCCGGGCTATATGCTGACCCACCACCACCGAACCAGCTCGGCGCTTCCCTCCTCCTCCCCTCCCCCCTCCTCCTCCCCTCCCCTTCCTCCTCCTCCTCCCCTCCTCCTTCTCCCCTTCCTCCTCCTCTCCTTCCTCCTCCTCCTCTTCCTCCTCCTCCCCTTCCTCCTCCTCCCCTTCCTCCTCCTCCCCTTCCTCCTCCTCCTCCTCCTCCTCCTCCTCCTCCTCCTCCTCCTCCTCCTCCTCCTCCTCCGCCTTCACCTCTTCAACCATCAAACCCAGCTTATCAGGAACGTGCTACCATTCAACGCCAAATATTCTCGACGATAAAATCCAATTTCCAGTTTCCTGTTAGTCTTGATGTACTACGTGTAATAGTGTCAGTAGCAGAGACTCCCTCTCTCCTCCCTTTCTCCCTTTCTCTCTCCCCCTTTCTCCCTTTCTCTCTCCCCCTTTCTCCCTTTCTCTCTCCCCCTTTCTCCCTTTCTCTCTCCCCCTTTCTCCCTTTCTCTCTCCCCCTTTCTCTCCCCCCCTTTCTCTCTCCCCCTTTCTCCCTTTCTCTCTTTCTCTCTCCCCCTTTCTCCCTTTCTCTCTCCCCCTTTCTCCCTTTCTCCCTTTCTCTCTCTGCCTTTCTCTCTCTCTCTCCCCCTTTCTCTCTCCCTCTCCTCCCTTTCTCTCTCCCTCTCCTCCCTTTCTCTCTCTCTCTCCTCCCTTCTCTCTCTCTCTCTCCTCCCTTCTCTCTCTCTCTCTCCTCCCTTCTCTCTCTCTCTCTCCTCTCTCTCTCTCTCTCTCTCTCTCTCTCTCTCTCTCTCTCTCTCTCTCTCTCTCTCTCTCTCTCTCTCTCCTTTCTCCCTTCTTCCCCTCTTCTCCTCCCCTCTCTCTCTCTCTCTCTCTCTCTCTCTCTCTCTCTCTCTCTCTCTCTCTCTCTCTCTCTCTCTCTCTCTCTCTCTCTCTCTCTCTCTCTCTCCCTCCTCCCTTCTCTCTCTCTCTCTCTCTCTCTCTCTCTCTCTCTCTCTCTCTCTCTCTCTCTCTCTCTCCTCCCTCTCTCTCTCTCTCTCTCTCTCTCCCTCCTCTCTCTCTCTCTCTCTCTCTCTCTCTCTCTCTCTCTCTCTCTCTCTCTCTCTCTCTCTCTCTCTCTCTCTCTCCCTCTCTCCCTCTCTCCTCTCTCCTCCCTTTCTCTCTCTCTCTCTCCTTCTCTCTCTCTCTCCTCCCTTCTCTCTCTCTCTCTCTCTCTCTCTCTCTCTCTCTCTCTCTCT